TGACCAGCCGCAACTCTAGACACCCACCCCCGACCATACTGAAGATTTCGGAGGCAAATGGGAAGCAAAAACCTCAGCTTTCTTGTTTGGCTGACATACAAGATTACCAGAGGAATTACAGATTGGAAGTTAGAGTGGCAGAAATTACGGGATATTGCTTTGACAAGGGACCAAAATGTTCGGCTACCGGTGGCGGACAAGATCACGTTTTCGGCTTTACAGTGAACGAAGCGTTCTTTGGTTCTCTGAATGGTCGTCGAACATCTGTTCCTAGCTTGCACGAAGCGATGGTGGGAGAAGGGAGTGGGTGAGCGGCGCCAGCAACCGGAGGTTGGACGTTTAAAGCGTACAGCACGGTCACATGCATGGTTAAACCGCTCAGGGGATTTAGGTTTGCCGGGTTTGGAAAAGTGCGGAATAAAAAGATGCATTCCTTGAAGAACAATATCAGTGAAGATAGAAACGGATTTGGAAACATCAGAAGAGAAGCAACAATCGTTCCAAGGATAAGCAGCTAGGAAATCACGGAAACCATCCCAGTTGGCTGCGTTGTAGCCCCAGAATGTGTCTGGAGGTGGGTGATGGCTCGGAGTTTGAAAACCTAGTAGAACAAGAAACAATACAGTGATCTGGTGAGCCAAGAGGAGGGAGGGGACGAATATCTGAGAAGAAAGAAGAGACCGAAGTGAGAATTAGATCGAGGGTGTGGGCACGATTGCCAGCTCGATCAAGGACACTTGTGGGGAAACCAACTAGTTGATTCAGGTTGTTGACCAAGGAGAAGTGTTCAGCTTCGCGCTCCAAAGGAGAAGTAGCAGATGGGTAACAGATGTGTCAACCAGTCCTGATTGTGAACGTTAAAATCTCCCAAGATGGTAACATGGCAGTTGGGGTCGTTTGCAAACAAATGTTCAATGTTCGAAGATAGAAAATCAAAGATGGAAGAGTTGCCACTATTTGGTGAACGATACAGAACAGAAAAGTAATGATTAAAGGAAGAAAGTCGGAGTTTCAGCCACATCAGCAAAAATTCACGATTGGAAAATTTCAAGATTTGGGATCCTGGAGGCCGCCATAGATTGTTGAATAAAGGCGCAGACACCAGCTTTGTGTAGAAAGGAGGAATGGGAATTGTAGTTGGCTACTTGAAGGTGGGTGGTGTCTGACGAGGGGGAGATTTGTGTTTCGGTCAAGAAAAGGACGAGCGGAGAAGAAGAATGGAGAAATTGGTGTACAGAATCAATATTGCGGTTCAGTCCGCTAATGTTGGTGAGGGTGATGAGTGCTTGTTCACAGTCTGAGTGTATAGAGCGAGCGAGAGTACGTGAGTGTTCGTGATTTTGTATGTTCATGTTCATGTTGTGAGGAAACTGGCAACCATGATCTTGGAACTTGGAGTAGCGGACTACATAAGGCGTGGTAGTGAGCCGGGCGACGGCAGGGCCGCCTACCTGGGTACTTGGGTATCACCGTCGCCAACAGTCTTCATTAATCCACACAAATTTACAGTTGTATGACAAACTGAGACCCCTCTCTTTTCACTTTCGNCCTCTTCCGTTCACCAATGCGTTTCACTCATTCTACTCTATTGCTCTCCTGTAGTGTTCTCCGTTCGACATCTGATCTCTCGTATTAGCATTTATAAGGATTTCGCTATATCCTACCTGGACCGACTCTGATGGCAAGTGAATTACGTCAGAATTTTTGTGCATAAAACAAACTAGCGACAGTCTTNCAGTCTTCAAGTTAAATGTTATATGAAACTGTATATTTTATTCCGTGTGACGACCAATGTACATTTTTAAGTGAAATGTAAGCATACAAGCTTACACAATTATACAAATACCAACTGAAAAAATGATTCCTCTGGTGCACTGGATTGAAAAAGAGGACTGAAACCATCAGCACTCTGTCGAGTCATTCTAATTTCAGTCTTTGAGGGCTCACACTGTCCATCCCAGTTGACTTGATTACACAGTGGAACTATTGAATTGTATACAACCACATAAACCTGATTTGCTCTTATGTTGACCAGGGATATGCCCGGACGTGACCCCAATGCAATCTCCACAATTGTGACAATAACATATGAGTTTCAAAGACAGCAAGCTGTTCTTGAGCAGGTTATTGTAAACAACGGGTTTTATTTTATGCAAATTCCGGTACCATATGAGTCACTTTCGTTAGTGGACTGGACTAATTATTCACTGTATGATCGAACGATGCCTTCTATCTCTCTCTATCTCTGTATTTTCTCGATGTTGTCATTCTGCGCGAAGAATCATTTAAAAAAATATTTCAAACTGTTTGGGCCCAAAGGTCTCTTGTGCGACTTCGGTTTCGTACTCATGGGTTTAGAACTGTACTTTCCTTTCTTCTCCTATTCTTCATCCTAATGGGCAGCCAAAAGACAGCAACCAAAGCCGGCGCACGAAAGTGCATGGTTAATGGTTGTTCAAACTGAACTGAACTGAACATATTTATGTTTTCACACACATACAAAAACCTGAGTTCTGATTGTGTGGCAAACAAATCACGGTACAATGATCTTTATAAAAAGGAAAAGGTTCATGCTCTCCTCGAAAGTACAATACTGCCAGGTTGCTCAGGCCAAGCAGATGAATTGTTTTACGGAGTTCGCAACCGGAGCCGTCGGCTACCCCGCGAGACAGTGGGGAGGTGTGCAAAAATCGCAATCCATTGGGGGCTGGTA